ATGGTGACCCATTTTAGGGCTTCCTAGGAATTTATTTATTTATTTATTTATTCGATTTTTACCCTGCCCCTCTAGACAACGTCTACTCGGTATAGAGTATAGAGTAATCAGAAATGGTTTTCCTTTCCCTTCTTCTGGAGTCACCCAGCAGCCGTGCAAGGCTGATCAGATATTAGAGGTAGAGTGGCTCTATCAGGAGTTGTGATAGAGAGGTGTACTGTTTTCACTGCATTGCATAGCCAAATTCCAATTGTCATAATCACATCGAGAACCACTATAACATTTCAGACATACTTAGCAAACCACAGATGAAACCTGCTTTTCTGCTTTCAATTTCTGTTTTTTCAATGATCATACTACTCACTGTAGTTCACTCTACTCTGGCAGTAGAGTAAAAGCTATAATAATGGTTTGTCAGTGCAGATGTGCTTGCAAGCCATAGTTAATGTGAGCTATTCTCAACATAATCTCTCCAAATTATACTTTCAATGTTTGGTTGCCTAAATACTCTTAACCACAGTTCCTTTTTTCACTGTTGCTCTATATTGTTCCATTCTGTTTTGCAAAGTAGAATCTATAGAGTGCCTAACAAAAAATAATTTATTGGCTGAATTTTGTTGTTCAGTGTAAGAAAATCCAGCACCAAGATCCTGAGGGACTCTCAGTAGAGATTCTTTATTTATAATACAGGAATGGAGTGAAAGTTCCAATTTTTTCTTACACTAATCAACACAATTTCAGCTTCCATAGAATCATTCAGCTATTGATACCGTATTTTTCCATGTATAAAACAACACTTTTTGCTAAAATCATTAGAGGAAAAATTAAGGGTCATTTTATACAGAGAAGGAGGCGGAGGCAAAGGAGCAGGTGCGCTTGGCCACCTCTTGTGGCTTCCCATTGACAGCTGCTGCTGTCGTCCAATCGCCTCCTCCACTGCAACATGCCAGGGCTCACCTCCAGCTCATGTCCCCGCCTTGTCCTCTGCCAGAAGGGAGCCCGCAAGTGGTGCTGGAGAAGGCGATCAGGCAGCGGCGGTGGCAGGAGGTGGCTGAGTGCAGCTGCTCCTTTACCTCCATCTCTGCCTCCTGCTGCTGCTCCCTCCGCCGCTGGATTGCCTCCTCCAGCACCACTCACAGTCTCCTTTTGGGCAGGGGACATGAGCTGGAGGTGAGCCCCTGCAGTCACACTGGAGGAGGCGATTGGGTGTTGGAGGCAGCAGGAGACGGAGGTGGAGGAGCAGCCATGCTGGGCCACCCCTCATGGCTGCCCATTGACTGCTCCTCCGCCTCCAGCAAGGGACAAAGTTATACGTTGAGGGGGCTTATACATGGAAAAATATGGTAATTTTTCAAGATTTCTGAACCTAAATTTGTATATTTGTGTATGTCTATAAGGAATCACCGAAATTACTGCAGCTGCTTGATAAAGTGCTCGACATATGCTGGAAGGGGAATTGGGCCCACATCCAGCATGCAGACAACAATTCATCAATCATCCACAGCAACTTTCACAAATCTTTTTTCATGTCCATAAACATCTGGTAGAATTCCGGCCATTCTCTCCTCTCCAAAGCCTCACACTACTGTATATTCAAACAACTAGGATCTTAGCATACTGTATACATTTTATGCATCATTTCTAATCATGTTGCTTTATTTTAGCCATATAGTATCTTTACAGTCTGCACTGTAGCAGCCCCAAAATGCAAGGCATTACAGATTGCTCTGGCCCATGGCCAATAAGAAAATAAACTAATTTCTAGATCTGGTCTTTGATATCCAAAGTATTTCTTTTGAGATGGAATCAGCATCTCAAGGGCATAAACTGAGCAATATATATTTATATGTATGTCCCCATGTACAGCCAGGGTATCGATCTAGCTAGGGTTTAGATGAGGCCCAGCTTTGGGGGAAAAGCATGCCATTTTAAAAATGCACCAATCTTGTCATTTTCCTTTACTGCATCACCAAAAGTGAAGGACTGACACAGCAAGAAAGCTAGTATGTCTAGTTTTATGGACATCTTATGCATGAGCATATTAAATGAAAATCTTACCCATCCAGACTTCTCCAAACTGACCCGCTCCAAGCTTTTTCACTAATTTTATTGAGTCCCTTGGGATCTCCCAGGCATCTTTATCCCATGGTTTCTGTGGTTTGGGACTGATGCATGCTTTTTCCAGTTTTCTGCACAAGCCATCTGGTTGCTCTGTTTGAGAGACAAATATCCAACATTTGTGCCTTTAGCACATCAATGAACATGTGCCCACCACATGTTTTATCCAGATTTCATCTGTCTTCTCTAAAATTATCTTTACAATAAATTCTGAAAGCTCCAAACTGGGAAGATTGCAAGACAATTCCAGGATATTATATATGGCACTTATTCTTCTATGTTGCTTTGAAGCAATGGATCTCAGGCCACAGATTCTCCTGCACTCGAGTTTTCCACCTAACTTCTAATGTTGAAACTTCAAACATCTATACTGAAAGCTACTATGCATGAACTAAGTTACATTTCCTTGAATGTCAGCAGTGATTTTTCTTTCCCACAGAAATATGCTGATAACACTACCACAAACAATTACAATGTTCATAACTTTTTTGGCTTACCAGTAAGTCCACAGAGGTCTGTAAATAAAGCTTATCCTTTATAAGCAAAGAAATCTCATTTACAACAAAGTTGATAGTTTTTCTTACACTTAGCTTTGTTTCAGATTAATGCAAGCCCTGTAATTGGACCTCATTTACTTCCAGTTACCACCCACTGAGTAATTATACTGAACCTTCATGAATGTTCACATTTACACAAACAGCACAGTGAGTCAGAAATATATTTAAGTCATTTGAAACAGAGGGGTGTTTTTCCTTTCAATAACAGACAGCAATTTGATATATAATCCATTAAAACTGTTGGCTTACTTTGATAATGTTTGATCATGTCACTGATAGAGGGAAACGTAATTCTTGGAGATATGTAATACCCTCCATTGTCTAGACTTCTGATTTTGTAGTGCTTTACAACATCACCATGCTGTGCATCATGATCCTTGATAGACAGAGAATAGCTACCTATGGAATAAAAAAAAAGACTGAATTTCTTGTTATACGAACAAGATACATACAGGTACAGTGTTAGCATTTTTACTAATGTTTTCTGGCTAGCAAAATACTAAAACAAATATTATACTAGAAAGAGCAGCCTACTAGAAGACATAGTGTACATTCTGCTTTGTTGTGGAGAAATGAACATTTTAAAGAAAACACAACGCATAACCAGAGATGTTATTTGGACAGCTTAGTGTTTGAAAACAAAGGAAAAGACTTTGAGTTCCATAGGTGTCCCCTGTATTTTTCCTATCTCTGATGTTACCACACTACCTTTTAGACCAGTGATCCTCAACCTTGGGCCTCCAGATGTTCTTGGACTACAACTCCCAGAAGCCTTCACCACCACCTCTGCTGGCCAGGATTTCTGGGAGTTGAGGTCCAAGAACATCTGGAGGCCCAAGGTTGGGGACCACTGTTTTAAACTTCTATACCACAGTCATGGACGTGGTGGCACTGTGGGTTAAACCACAGAAGCCTCTGTGCTGCAAGGTCAGAAGACCTGCAGTTGTAAGATCTAATCCATGCGATGGAGTGAGCTCACGTCGCTTCTCCCAGCTCCTTGCCAACCTAGCAGTTTGAAAGCATGTAAAATGCGAGTAGATAAATAGGTACCACCACAGTGGGAAGGTAACAACATTCCGTGTCTAGTGCCATGGCCATCTGACCCCGGAAACTGTCTACAGACAAACGCTGGCTCTATGGCTTGGAGACGGGGATGAGCACCACACCCTAGAGTTGGACATGACTGGACTAAATATCAAAGGGAACCTTTACCTTACCATAGTCATTTTATGAAGCTACTTATTTTTCCCATCACATGACTGATTTCAACTGCACTAACTACAAATATAATACCACAAACTCAGGTTGACTGTATTAATGCTTATAAGTTATATAAGTTGTTACATAGGTTGGCACTCCTCCAGGTCATATTCACAAATTACTACTACGTTCAAAACTGGCATCTGAGCTTGCTTTTACCTCTTCTCTCTCCTCCCATCCCCTTTCCCCTGCGTGTTGCATCTTTCAGGTGGTAAATCCACCATTATCTGCTGCACCCATGGACTAACTTGTTACATTATAACATAAAACTTGTTGTGCTGTCATTACAAAAAAAGAAACGTAACTCATTAAATGTTGCTTTTGAAGAAGTAGCTGCGTTATGTTTGTGCAAGCATATCAGTCAAACAGCAACAACAAAATCAACCACCAACAGACAGAAGTGTTGTGGTATGCACTATAACTCTTATATTTTAATGTGAGCTTTTGTGATTTAAGTTCATTTCCTCAGACATCAAAGTGAATCTATAGGACTGTCATGTTTATGCATCGCCCCATGACCATGTGAGGATACAGACACTGGGCAAAACGACACTTATAGCTGATTACTTCCAAATTCCAGCCCAGGGAAACATATGTTTTACATACAGAAATTGTCCACAGGTCTAAATCCTGTATCTCAGGTTTGTTTGCCTGAGACTTTGGGACAGCTGCTGTCATTCAGAGCAAACAATGTGGGCCAGAAGAAAACAACAGGATAAAGGCAGATTGCAAGACAGATGCCAAACAAATGCTGAGTGAAGAAAAATGATGTCTCTTAAATTGTGGAATGGGCAATGGCTGTCGAGACATTGTTGTAATGCAAGCTGTTGTATTTTTCATTACTGCCTTTTACAGGTGTGACTAATTGTTAAACACTAGATTGAATTACATTAGATAAAACAATTTTTTTTAAATATTACTCTGCTTTTCTCCAAATCTAGCATCTAGGCATATGTAATATATAATGGGTAGCATTCACTGTTGCATGAGCACTGTTGCATGAACAGTCCTCCAATTTCTCTACATAAGGGGTGACTGCAGATGAGAGGGTAAAATTGCCCTCTCATCTTGCTAATGAAAGCCTTATGTCAACAGAGCACACTAATTGGATTTCACTCAGCATTTTCATCAGTTCTAGAAATCCTATATCAATATTTATATACAGGAGTTATTCTCACACAATATTTCTATCAAATGTAGCCATAGGTTTGATGTCCTGACCTTCAGTGATATTTGAGAATGGTTTAATAAGAAGAATACTTCACACTTGTTTCTCTTTAAAATTCTGCTTATTCCTTTGGATAGCCAATAATTCCAGTTTGTCAAGCCAATATTTAAATATTCTCACACAGGCTACACTTAAAAACTTGGAAAATCCATATGTTCTGTGGTTAAAAATCTACTTTTAAACATTTAAAAGGTAACTGGAATCATTTTATGATTTCTACATATTCTAAGTCCATTCACTCAAACCTTTTGAGAACTTTATAGCCAAAATAGCTGAGGGTGAACTTTGCAGAAAGCTGAATTCATTTACTTTTAGCTCCAAAGTAATCCAGAAAGCCTACCTTTTAAGGTTTCACTCTCTCTGATAAGGAATGCCCCAGGAGCATTTCCTGGTGCTAGAAGTTGTCTTTCTGCATCTTTCCTTGTTATGTCTTTAAAGAACCATCTGGAAAGTATTGTGGGGAAAGAAACATTAATTTTCTTCTTCTTAAAATTGTAATGTGAAGAACAGCAGTCAACACTGAAGATCAAATATGTAAAATGATGAAGGAACCTACTCTTCTGTTTCTAATGTGTTGACCTTTGCGACATAATTGCTTGGGATAAAGCCTTCATTCCTGGTTAAAAGGGACCGAGCTCTCCACCATTCTCCATGCCTAAGGAAAAGAAAAGAACATAATCTAAATAAGAGATTGATATTGATGATCTTCAGTAATACGTACAAAGGCTTATGGAAACCGTATGATGTTTCCAGACCTGCACAACAGATAACAAGGGACTAAAACATATGAATACATCAGTAAACATTGAGAATCAATTTCTAAATCTGGGATCATAAAAGCATAACAACAACTAGCCTGGATCAAACCACATTTAGTTTGCCACTCTGTTCCTGCAGTGGTCAGCTAGATGACTCTGGGAAGCACAGAAGCAGCATATGTGCGCAAAAGCAACCTCTCAGCCATGATCCCAAACAACTGGTGTTCACAGGTATATTTCTTCTGATACTGAGATAATATACAGATTGATTAGTTGTGCGATCCTCCATGAATCTGCCTAACCATAGCCATAGGAAGTCATCACCACATTTAATAGGGACTGATTTGATAAACTGGTTGAAATCCTGATGCTTTTCTACATAGATGAAAGGCAAAAGAGGTAACATTCATGCATTCTGAGATAGCAATTAGCAAGTCATGGCTAGGATGTTTGGGGTATTCATACCCAATGGCTTGCTGTGTGATGAAAAATCCCAGCTAGGACTCTTGAAATATCAGCTACAAAACAAATAACAGTTACACCTTTTTCCTTCTACATCTGTAACAATGCAGCAGGATTGAACCCAGATGTCTGCAGCTCTACACCAGCACTATAACCACAGCACTATATTTTACATGTTACAGGGATTAAAATAGCAAACACAATCCTCCTTACCAGCTTGTATGATTGTCTCTAGGAGTTAGAGAAGAAGAAAAACAGCTGTTTATACTTACTCCTCCAGAATTTCCATTTTTTCTCCTTTTTTGAAAGATAAATCATCTTCATGAATGCCATCGTAAGGATAAAGGGATACTACAATATCTCGATGTTCATCATCATCTAATATAGAAATTCAAGGAAGATATTCCCAGTCATTTATTAATGCTTGTTATGTTAAAACTTGATATGGCAAATGATATTACATAATCAATGTTTTATATCATAACTATTATATTACTTGTTGCTTTTTAGAAACATACCTTCTTTACCAAATCTCTGACCTGGCAGAAGTACATCAACATTTGCCTAGAACAACAAGTAACAGTTAATTAATAATGGTTTACAACAACATCAAATGCATAGACTCATATTTATAAAATTAGCATTTTTTAAAACATAGTGACTACAGATTCTCCCTCCACCTTTTAGTTTTAGTTTTTAATGCTGGCTATTTGATCTTGGCCAACATTCAGAAGCCATTTACAGCACCTACAGTGAGGCTTTTAAACCACTGAGCACAGCAGTTTATGTACATTCAACAATTCATTCTAGAACAAAAGGTCATCTAATGAAGGCAAATACCTGTTGTTGGGGAAATGATATGTGTGTGTACGCACACATCCTGTTGAACTTACTTTGGACAAGATAAACTTTTGATAGCATCTACTAGGGCTCCTCCTGTGTTGTCATAATTTTGGAATTTACAGGAGAAGCACAACTGTCAGTAGCTATTTCATAAATGAAAAACAACAGATACTTCTCAGTATGTATCAACCAAACCGAAAGAACCTTTGGATTTAAAAGAGGTAACTCATTGCATATTTTGTTTTGTTTTGTTTATGTATACACAAATTGTATAGAGCTGAAGGTGGTTTAGTCTGAAGTCAGGGTGTGCACAGAATTTAAGACAGGTTGAAATTGTGCTTCGGGAATAGAAGCAGTCCCATGTCATTAAAGCCAACAGAAACCTGTGGCAAAAGCACAGTGTTCCAAAGAGCAAAATAAAATTTTGAGGGCTCTTCAGAAAAACAAACATGTGTTATTGCAGGTCCAGATGAGCCGGCACTTCGCTATATTGTGCAGCTCTTGGTTTTTTGTTTTTACCTCCCTATTGTTGGTTCAGTTAGATTCCTCATGAAAATTGGAAATTGCTCCTATATTATCTGGTAATCTATGTTCTCCAGTCTTTCTGTCAGCCCTCTAGTAAGCAGAGCTAGTTCCAGAATTAAAAGGAGCCTTCAGAAAAGGGATCCTGGAGTTGACATTTGTTTCTCTTCCATGCCCCTCTCACATAAGAATAAAATATATGCCCACTCAGGTTAACACTTCATGTATCTGAAGAACTGTGCTGCAGTCCACAGATCCTTAGGTTAAATAGAATGACTCTGACATTAAGCTACCAAAATACACTTTGTTGAGTTTGTTGCAACAGACCAATGGGGCTACCTATGTTGGAAGAGCAGGAAGGATTCACAGAAGGATTATGGTGTGTCTTCCCCCCCTCCCCCCAAAAAATAAACTTTAGATACACTTCTGGCACCTTAACAGTTGTCCATCAAGACAGGACATTTTAATCTCCAAGAATCATATCTTGTTGCAGAGTTCACATAGAACAAGACCTACGAAGAAGGCATTCTAACTATGACATTGTTACTTCAAGAGTTGTAAATGACATCCCTCAGTCTCAGCCATGGTTTTGCAGTTTGTTTGTTTGTTGTTTTGTTCTTTACAGGCAAAACTAGCTCAGAAAAAATCTGTCCCAACAAAGCCTTTTGTCACTGGAAAACCATTTTTGCCCCAATAAATGGGTGAAATTCTATTACTCAGCATAGTAAGTCACATGTAGAGTATGCTCATTGAATTAATGAAAATTACAGAGGAGTTGCCTCAAATTCCCACTGATGCCTTTGGCTTACTCTAATTGCAACTCACATTGGGTAACAGGATTTCAGCCAATGTAATGGATTTATTTCTTCATTTCTACATTCTTATGTTTTCATTCAGAAATTTAAGGTACGCCAGTCATGCTATGATCTCACTATTCAACATCTTCCCTGAAACTATCTACTTACTGGCCTTTGTTGTTTACTGGACGTTGGATCCCTCACATAAATAGTTCGTTCAGTTTTACGTACTGGTTGGCTCTTCTCATCTCCTGGCAGACTCTCTTTTCTCTTCGATTCTATACATCCCATATTTCCCTGTAGGAAGAAGAAGATGATTAAGCAAAAATGCTGTCTAGTTGAGGTTCAAAATAATACTTTTATTTATACCCCGCCTAGAGTGGCCTTTTAGGCCAGATGGGCGGGGTATAGATAGATAGATAGATAGATAGATAGATAGATAGATAGATAGATAGATAGATAGA